TTAAATTCCTTACAAAAAAATTGGGCGTTTAGAGGGGAGGGTAGCTCTGCGAGTGCGCAATCCCCCCTCTGCAGATGACTGGGTCCCGCGCAAGAATAGAACAGTTTCGGACAGAGCTTTGTTTGCAGTTCCAGGGAAGGATCCAAAGAGTTTCTATCTTTGTGCAAACCCTGTGTTTTTTAGGCCTTGCGCAAAAATAGAAACTTTTGCTACGGCTCACGTCCCGGAAAAGTTTCCTTTTCTGCTTGCAAGAAGTAAATTGAGGATTGCCAGTACTAAGTTTAGTATTGGCAGTACTAAAGTTCATATTGGCAGTGCTTGATTGTGTGTCTCCTCAGTGTTGCAAGCACAATTTTCAGTAATTATTGCCAGTACTGAATTCAGTATCGCCGCTACTGCATGCAGTATTCGTGCGTAAACGGAATGAACCCTCTGCAGGTTTTGGCGGCCCTGCGGAAATATAGAAACTCTCCGGTCAAAAGCTTCTATCTTTGTGCAAGCCCTGTTTTTCAGGCCTTGCGGAAAGATAGCAACTTTTGCTACGGCTCTCATGGCCCGGAAAAGTCAAATTATTTGCTTGCAAGCACAAAATTGAGGATTGAGTACTAAACTGAGTATTGCCATTCTGGATAACCCCGCGAAATGGGAGCCCGCTTGTTTTGGGTTGGGCAAACGTCAACATTTGCCTGACCCCTCAAATGCAGCTTTGCCGGGGCTGCGCAAACGTCGGCGCTTGCCGAACCCCTCAAATGGCTTATTTGCGTGCCCCCTGTCAGGGTTGCAAGCATTTTTTAGTATTGCCAGGAGAGGGGGATTGTGCACTCGCAGAGCCACCCCCCCCTTCTGAACGCCCAAAATTTTAGAAAGGAATTTATCCAATTCAAATCCTGGCTACAAATTAAACACTGGCAATGCTCAGTTTAGTCCTGGCAATGCCAAATTTAGTACTAGCAATACTAGATTAGGTTCTGCAATAACTAGATTTACTTCAGGCAAGCAAATCATATGACTTTTCGGGGCCATGAGCCGTAGCAAAAGTTTCTATCTTTCCGCAAGGCCTGCAAAACACAGGGCTTGCACAAAGATAGAAACGTTTTGGATCCTTCCCTGGAACTGCAAACGAAGCTCTGCCCCAAACTGTTCTACCGAGTCGTCTGCAGAGGGGTGATTGTGGACTCGCAGAGCTACCGCCCGCCCCTTCTGGAAGCCCAAATTCATTATAAAATGCATATTTTAGTAAGGAGTTTGAACAGTTCAAATCCTCGCTAAAAATTAAGTACTGGCAATGCTCAATTTAATGCTGGCAATACTAAATGTAGCACTGGCAATATTAGATTAGGTACTGCGACTACTGGATTTACTACAGAAAAGCAAATAATATATCCTTTCAGAGCTGAGCCGTAGCAAAAGTTTCTATCTTTCCGCAAGGCCTGAAAAACACAGGGCTTGCACAAAGATATAAAAACTTTTGACGGGAGAGTTTCAATCTGTCCCCCCGCCAAACCTGCAGAGGGTTGATGCCGTTTTCGCACGAATACTGCATTAAGTAGCGGCAATACTGAATGTAGTACCGCCAATGCGAAATTTAGCACTTGCAACACTAGGGAGACACATCAAGTACTGGCACTATTAAATTTAGTACTGCAATACTAAATTTAGTACTGGCAATCCTGAATTTACTACTTGCAAGCAAAAACTAACTTTTCCGGGACGTGAGCCGTAGTACCTTTGCGCAAGGCCTGAAAAACACAGGGCTTGCACAAAGATAGAAACTTTTTGGACCCTTCCCTGAAACTGCAAACAAAGCTCTTTCTGAAGCTGTTCTATTCTTGCGCGGGACCCAGGGGTGCTTGTGACTCGCAAAGCTACCACCTCCTTCTGAACACCCAAAGTCATTCCAAAATGCATTTTTTGCAAGGAATTTAAGCAGTTCAAGTCCTCGCGAAAAATTAAGTACTGGCAATGCTCAGTGGCAATGCCAAATTTAGTGCTAGCAATACTAGAAAAGGTTCTGCAATACCAGATTTACTTCAGGCAAGCATTTTGTATGTTTGCACAAAGATAGAAACTTTTGACCGGAGAGTTTCTGTCTTTCCGCGGGGCAGCCAAAAAACTGCAGATGGGTTGTTCCGTTTTCGCACAAATACTGCAGTAAGTAGCGGCAATTCTACATGTAGTACCGAAAATGCGAAATTTAGCACTTGCAACACTAGGGAGACACACAATCAAGTACTGGCAATATTAAATTTAGTAGTGCCAGTACTAAATTTAGTACTGGCAATCCTCAATTTAGCACTTGCCAGCAAAAAACTAACTTTTCCGGGACGTGAGCCGTAGCAAAAGTTTCTATCTTTGCGCAAGGCCTGAAAAACACAGGGCTTGCACAAAGATAGAAACTTTTGACCGGAGAGTTTCTGTCTTTCCGCGGGGCTGCCAAATCCTGCAGATGGGTGGTTCCGTTTTCGCACGAATACTGCATTAGCGGCAATTCTAAATGTAGTGCCGCCAATGCGAAATTTAGCTCTTGCAACACTAGGGAGACACACAACCAAGCACTGGCAATATTAAATTTAGTACTGCCTAATACTGGCAATCCTGAATTTAATACTTGCAAGTAGATAATTTGATTTTTCTGACCATGAGCCGTAGCAGCAGTTTCTATCTTTCCGCAAAGCCTGGAAAACACAGGGATTGCAAAAGAATAGAAAAAAAGATCCTTGCCTGGAAGTGCAAACGAAGCTTGTCCGAAACTGTTCTTTTCTTGTGCGGGACCCAGTCATTTGCAAAGGGGTGATTGTGGACTCGCAGAGCTACCCCCCGCTTCTGGAAGCCCAAAAACATTCCAAACTGCATTTTTAAGCAAGGAGCTTGAACCGTTGAAATCCTTGCTAAAAGTTAAGTACTGGCAATGCTCAGTTTAGTCCTGGCAAGACTAGATTAGGTACTGCGACTACTGGATTTACTACAGAAAAGCAAATAATATATCCTTTCAGAGCTGAGCCGTAGCAAAAGTTTCTATCTTTCCGCAAGGCCTGAAAAACACAGGGCTTGCACAAATATATAAAAACTTTTGACGGGAGAGTTTCAATCTGTCCCCCCGCCAAACCTGCAGAGGGTTGATGCCGTTTTCGCACGAATACTGCATTAAGTAGCGGCAATACTGAATGTAGTACCGCCAATGCGAAATTTAGCACTTGCAACACTAGGGAGACACACCATCAAGTACTGGCAATATTAAATTTAGTACTGCCTAGTACTGGCAATCCTGAATTTAATACTTGCAAGTAGATAATTTGATTTTTCTGACCATGAGCCGTAGCAGCAGTTTCTATCTTTCCGCAAAGCCTGGAAAACACAGGGATTGCAAAAGAATAGAAAAAAAGATCCTTGCCTGGAAGTGCAAACGAAGCTTGTCCGAAACTGTTCTTTTCTTGTGCGGGACCCAGTCATTTGCAAAGGGGTGATTGTGGACTCGCAGAGCTACCCCCCGCTTCTGGAAGCCCAAAAACATTCCAAACTGCATTTTTAAGCAAGGAGCTTGAACCGTTGAAATCCTTGCTAAAAGTTAAGTACTGGCAATGCTCAGTTTAGTCCTGGCAAGACTAGATTAGGTACTGCGACTACTGGATTTACTACAGAAAAGCAAATAATATATCCTTTCAGAGCTGAGCCGTAGCAAAAGTTTCTATCTTTCCGCAAGGCCTGAAAAACACAGGGCTTGCACAAAGATATAAAAACTTTTGACGGGAGAGCTTATCTTTCCGCGGGGCTGCCAAATCCTGCAGATGGGTGGTTCCGTTTTCGCACGAATACTGCGGCAATTCTAAGTAGTACCGCCAATGCGAAATTTAGCACTTGCAACACTAGGGAGACACACAATCAAGCACTGGCAATATTTAATTTAGTACTGCCAAGACTAAATATAATACTGGCAATCCTCAATTTAGTACTTGCAAGCAAAAAAAGACTTTTCCGGGACGTGAGCCGTAGCAAAAGTTTCTATTTTTGCGCAAGGCTTGAAAAACACAGGGTTTGCACATAGAAACTTTTTGGACCCTTCCGAAGCTGTTCTATTCTTGCGCGGGACCCAGTCAGCTGCAGAGGGGTGCTTGTGGACTCGCAAAGCTACCCCCTCCTTCTGAACACCCAAAACCATTCCAAAATGCATTTTTAGCAAGGAATTTAAAACAGTTCAAATCCTCGCTAAAAATTAAGTACTGGCAATGCTCAGTTTGGTCCTGGCAATGCCAAATTTAGTACTAGCAATATTACATTAGGCTTGGAATACTGGATTTACTACAGGCAAGCAAGTAATGACAATGAACCGCAGTACACAATTTATCGGACATGCAAACGCTTGCAGAAACTCAATTCCCCGGCGTGCAAAAGTTACTATCTTGCTGCAGACCCTGTGAAACACGGACCCCGCTGGCGTTCAAAGAAAATGGCAATGTCAGTACTGAATTTAGTATTGCCAAGGCTAAATTCTGGACAGTGCTCAATTCAGTTTTGCCGGTGTTGGGTACTGACTTGAGTATTGCCTGTACTAAATTTAGTCTTACTAGTATTGCCAGTACAAAATGTAGTATTGCCAGCACTAAATGTCGTATTGCCAGCATTATTTCTTTAGTATTGCCGGCACATATTTTTGCATTGCCTGTACAAATGTGGTATAATTATAATACCAGTAAATTTAATATTCCCAGTACTTGAATTAGTATTGCCAGCACTAGACGTGGCGTTGCGAGTAGTGTAAGCAGTGTATTTGGACTTCTCGAATACTACTTTCCTATTTGGAGCACGTCGTTTTGCAAGTCTGCCCGGCTTTCCCAACAAAGTTTCTATCTTGTTGCGGTTTCTATCTTGTCGCGGCGCTCCGGTTTTGCAAGCCCTGACTTTCCCCAAAAAAGTTTCTATCTTCTCCAGGAACGTTATACAGCATGTCACATGCAACGCGCGCTCCATGAATGGTGCGCCGCCCGCTATCTGAAGCCACGCGCCTCGGGGATACCCCGCGACTCCGCCGCCCACGAAAGGTCCGCGCTGGCAGGAATCGCTCCCTCTGGCTGAGCCTTGGACAAACCGAAATCGGATGGCTCGCGGAGCGAGCGTGGGCAGCTCCCACAGAATCTGTCCACCTTTGCAAGTTATCCTTGTAACGGCAAGATGGTGATCACCTCGCTGAAGGGGGGGGCCAACCTGATTGAACTTTGTTCCATAGATATCTAACCGAAGAAGCTGATCTTCCCGGAAGCATTGTCTTGCAGCCTGTTTGCAATGTTCAGCCATCAAACGGCGCGATCTCGCAAACAAACACACACACACACACACACACACACACACACACACACACAGACAGACAGACAGACAGACAGACAGACAGACAGACAGACAGACAGACAGACAGACAGG